AATTAGTGCAGGAAAAGAAAGGGCTAGTCACGAGTCAATAGTCCATACGCAGTGCTAGGGGCACTCGCCTCCTGCACTCTCCAGCCGGCACATGCTTTGGAATTGGGCCACGTAAGCTTACTGGGCTATGAAAGGATCACCTATCCCAACCAACATAACGTGACCCAAAATCAATTGGGGGTTCGATCAAGTGGTAAATAATTTATTTTAATTTAAATAAAATCTCGAATTTAAAACTTTGTGTATGTAGTAGTATTCGTTGAAAGACTCACTTACCATTTTCAGGTGCGCGATACAGGTCGATCCAAATTAATCGAAGTTGAACCTCAAATACCGGACGAGAAACTAAAAAAAAAGTAACATGACCCAATGAAAATGAAAGTGCTGGTTGGAGAGTGCAAATAGTGAGTGTTCCTAGCATTGCTATGGTAATTAAGGGCCTGTTTGGTGTGGATTATTGGAGTTTCAGTTTTTGGACACTATTTATGTCTCATGCATTTAAATTTTTCTCTTAAAAACTTATACTTTTAAATATTTTTTTAACCTCAAAAAACTCTTAAACAGTAAAAGCTCAAAAATTTTAAATCTAAATTTTTCATAAACTCTCTTTTTACTTACTTTCACTTTCTTTTTCACATTTCTAAAAGCTAAAACTCTATTTTTCCTCCAATAAAAATTTAAACTTATCACTCATAAAAGTACTCAAAAAGTTAAAACTCCCACCAACCACACCAAACATGCTTTAAATTATCATTAGTGGACAGTGACTAAAGCTGTACAAAGATCTGAAGTACATTCAAAAGATTGGAAAGCTGTTGTCAGTACGGAAGTAATGATGGTCCTTTTTTCTTTTTCATTAGTATATTTCGCCAATGGGCAATGGCGCTGTCATCCGTGTCCTTTAGTGTTAATTGGGGTAAATAAAAAAAAATCAAAAAATAGATGAGCGGAAAGCTAAACTCCACTAGGATAAAGTAATTAGCTTTTCTAAACTTTATTTTAAGGTGGTTTTATTAATTGTATTTTTTAATAATTAATTTATATTAAAAATTAATTTTAATTTATCAATTTTCTTATTAAAAGTATATAATATTAATGATAAAAATAAAATTAATTTTTAATAAA